AGATTCTGTCCACTAAACCAAAGGCCTTCAAAGAATCTTAAGCTTAATATACCACAAAAGCCTCTATAAAGCAAAGCTAAGAAGAATTTATATAAAAAGAAATTAGAGTGTAACTGCCATTTAAAAGAATGAATTAACAATTGAGTCATAAAAAGGCCACCAAAAAAATCTTTAAAGTAATTATGGGAAGTGAGCCTAAAATGAGCAGAGACAATATGAAAGAAAAATCAGCCTGTGGACTTCCTATTTCTGCAGGCTGGAAGATGCAGAGGAATAAACACCTCCGTAGCAGCAAGAATAGCTTTATGGAAAAGGAAGGAAAACATTAAAAACACGCAAACGACAGAAGCTAGAGAAGAGAGCCACAGTAGAAAAGTCCCAGATGGATGGACTGAATCTCCATCAAGACACTACCACTATCTCAACGGAATTTCAAAATTGCTGAGAACCAGAGAACGTGTTATGCCTACTTCCTGCTTTTTGCATGGAGACATCTCCAGCACTTATCTTTCTTATATGCCCATTTCATCACTGTGTGTTTGACTTAATGTGAAATAGAAATGCCTTTTAGTTCATTGTTCTTCAAATCAAGAGTATTTGCATTCAGTGAACTGCTCTTTAAGATGCCTTATCTAAACTTGAATCTGATAATAACCTGATCTTACTGATGTAAGCCGAGTCTTTCAGCACATTTTTTAATGCAGTTTTTGTGATAAAATTAGGTGCCTCGGCTGATATTCAGGTTGGCTTATACTCGAGTATATACGGTATGTTGTATTTTCAAGTTATAACTGCACCAAAATAAATCCCATCTCACATGGTTTTCTTGAAAGTGTCATGGGAATTCTTCCATTGAGAAGTTGGGGTTTGGATTCCTCCTGTTTAATCTGGTGGAACTCTGGAACTACTTCAACCAACAGGATGTCCCGGAAGTGTGACTCTAAAGGCTAGCTCATAAAAGGCCAATACCATCCACCTGGACCAACTGTTCGTGACACATGAACAACTGAATACTTACTTGAGTTACCAAGTAACAAGTTTGAGTACCCAGAAATTGCTCTGATAGAGAGAGAACACAGAGACGTCAAGGGAACTCAAGTTACCAAAATCATCAGCTACTTAAACTACCCAAACACGGCATCTGACACATGAACGACGCGATCTTTGAAATGATCACAAATCAAGCTATTGATTGCCAATAACAGACCCCAAGCCAAAACTTCTCAATTTGTTCCCATATTCCTGAACCATAATAACTATGAAAGATAAAAGATTATTAAATAACATACTATCATTTTGGAATCTTTTATCTTTAATTCTACTTGATCTGATATTACTATAGTCATATAGACTTAATAATGCTTTGTATTACAAGGGTCTGTAATTTTATGTTTAAGTGTGCTTATTTTAAACAATCTTTTCTGATAATCCTTGCTTATTTATGGAGGTATTTTCCCACTTATACTTATTGTAATTATTGGTTTTGGTAGTTAAACTAAGCCTTAGTGTTCAGTTTCAATTTTTTTTTCAATCAAGTCTTTCTCTTTCACTACCTTTTATAAAACATAAAAAATCCATAACAAATGGTATTTGTATTATCTTTGCCCCTCCACTGATTTTATGCTCCTTGTACTGTATTTGAGCAGTACCTTAAAGATTGTAATGTGGACCTTTAATATACCACAATTTATGCTAAAACATTCCATTTATTCATGAATAGTTTAGCCTAGTTTTGACAGTGTATTTCCAGTGAACCCTTGAGTAAATGATGTGGAGCCTCATTTACCCTCTTCTGACACCAATCTTCCCTCCCACGACACTCTACTTTACTATGGGTTCAATAAGTTATTGCAACGGCCACACACAACTCACAGATAATACAGGTGAGTGGATTTCTTAGGGAAGCTAACAGGTTACCATGAACCAAGATCAAAACTCCTTAGGGATATAGCCATTGATTCACAGCAACACCTGTCCTCAACCAGCAGCTGTTTTTTTCTCTGATTCCCAATTTCTCAGCCTAGTGGTCCCTTGGCTCTGCCTCTATGAGCAGGTAGCCACCTCACTGTATCATGAGCACCTTGCTGTAGGTCTGGTCTCAGTGTAGCTCTTTGCTCTGTTCTCCATGTCGCAGCCTGGGCCTGTGGTCTCAGGAGTGACCTTGATCTCAGGAGTGACCAAGATCTCAGGAGTGATCTTGAACTAGTAATTCTTACTTGATGGTCCTGGGAAGGGTCTCTGTCCCTGCTTCTGAGATAAACTCTCTTAGAGCCAGGGGAATGGCAACCACACTGACCAGCCCCCTCTGTTAAGTGCTTCACACACTATATTTACATAGGCTGTATTTACAGCCAATCGTGTAATGGAAAGCCTGGGTCACAAACTCAAAACCACTCACTGCCATGGAGTGGGTGCTAACTCACAGCAACACTGTAGGACACAGTAGAACTGCCCCTGGGGGTTTAAGAGACTCTAACTCTTTCAGAGGGTAGAAAGCACGGTCACTCAATAAGATGAAGATATCATCAGATTTCAAACCACTAGCAAATCCCTGAGGCTTAAAAGCAACTCCTAAAGTCAGTGGCCCTGCAGAACAAGCAGGCCTGTTAACATTGTCCTCAAACAGATAGAATCAAGCACAGACCCTTTGAAATTTGTAAAGCCCTAGGATTACACACTTATCATTCAGAAAGTTTAAGGACAGAAAATAATGTCTTTATTTCATTCCTCCTTTTTTTTTTTCAAGTAGTATTTATTTATGGATACGACTAAGGATGTGGTTGTGGACATGCAAACTGTAACTGTACACCTAACTTCCTGGTGAGAATCAGCATGGATCCAATCCCCACCTGGGAAGGTATCCAGTCCTTGCCTTCCCATTCGTCCTTCCTTGTTGTGCAATCTCCCCCCATTGGCACAATTCACAAGCGTGCCTGGTGCCTTTAGATAACAAACACTTCAATTATGCAGGAAATTTCAAGGCTTGTCTCACAGAAACTGAGCACATACTATATTTTTTAAAACTTGGGACCTGATTTCATACATTAGTTTGCATTAAATTGAAAGAGTCCACCGAATTCTCACAATAACATTCTGGGATTACTTGATATACTTTTTATAACTATAAGCAATCCCTAGGGTAGGAAAGAGATAAATCCCTAGTTGTGTATTTAAGAATTTGTACGTAAGTTAGAAAAGGAAAGAAGCCTTTTGAATAATGTAAAACTGCACATGCAGCATGTGAAGGGGATTGCCGTGTGGAGGTTATTCCCACAAAGGGAGTGTCAAAGGGAGAGCAGTTTCACATTATATTAAAGGCAATAAGTTCAGCATTTGAGGGCTTTCTGTGCAACTTTATTAATAAGGACACTGACAACATGATCCAAATTCGGCTTCCAGTTAGCATATTACTGATTTTTTTAGTCATTAGTTTAATCTTTTCTACCTAATTATTGCTATGTTGAATTTAAAAACAACTAGCTTACTTCATATAGCATAGGTACAAAAAAACATGTTAATGTATAAAAAGACAAGTTTCAATGTTCATGTTTTCAAAAAAAAAACTATGATTTGCTATAGGCTTCTGAGCTGGCTGGTGGGTTGATGAGCTTGAGGTGTGCACGGGCAGTGGATTATCTAATATGGCTCTTCTGGCCAAAGTCTGTAATTGCCATCAAATGGCTGAGCCCTACGTGGCTCAGGTAATAAGGTGTGGGGAAATAATAGTAGAATTCACCTGTGAATAATTGAGAACATAATTCCCTGGAGTACCATCCTGCTGTGTATAAAAGAGCCCTCTGAGAAGCAGGAAGAAGATTCTCATCGGCAAGAACTAGGAGCAGAGTGGGTCCACTGGACCCAAGATCCCTGAGACTTGAACCTCCAGGATCCAAAAGATAGGTTCCCATCAGAAGAGCAGCAGCAAAACCAGGAGCCAGAGCACTGAACTGTGATGGGCTTCCCAATTCACAGAACAAGTACAGCTGTGTGCCTTTGTGCAGGAGTCTGGCTTGTGGAGTGGGGTGCCTCTGGCCACTTAATTGGGGGAAGTTGACTTTGCTGATGGGGGGACGTGAGGATGAGTGTCTTTTTGGTTGAGGATTGAGTAGGGTATCTATGGGCACTTAATTCAGGGAGCTGGGTTTGCTGACCCTTGGAGTTTAAGCTGAATGCCTTTAGGTTGCGGTTTGCAGCACGGTGGTATGCTCTTTGGGGATCTATTAGCAGACTTGACAGGACTCTGTCGCGTGTCCTGATAAACAACACAATCCTGAGCATTTGTCACTGGTGTCATAGCTTTCGATGTCCTCAATAAACCCTTTAATCATTAATTTTGTCTGTGAGTTCTGTGTAGCCATTGAAATAAAACAGAGAATACTAATTAAGACATTACAAGGTAGAAGAATAGTACCAGTATATACAATAGCTAATTAAGGTTGGGTGGGGGGGCACACAGGGGGAGAATAATATCCAGAAAGGAGTACTTTATGTAGTGGGAGAGAGAAGATAAATAGGAACTTCTATCATTAATTAATGAGTAGGGAGACTACTTCAAAGACTGTTTTGTTGGGGTTTTTTTTGGGGGGGGGATTGAAAAAAGCTAAATGTTTTGAACAGCAATTTCCTTTGCTTTTGCTTTGAAAGATTTAATTCATTTTTATATACTTACATAAAATGGACAAATTTAGGATTAGTCCTGCTGTAGAATATGATACAATGCTGTAATTGGTTGTAAGAGGCAAGAAGTCTGCTGCATGCAATTTAGATTGCAGAAAGATTGTAAATGTATAATCAAAAAGATCTAAATCAATTACACGTTTGATAAGACCAATAGATATACATAGATAAAGTTGAATGTTGATGCTAAAATGAAAGTTAAATTAAATAGGCTTATTAGCCAGAACTCTCATAGCATTTAGCTTCAATGCTTACCTTCTCTCCATTTTATTAATAACAGAGTTACATGCATTAATTAACATTTGAATAACAAGCTTCCTTACGTGATTTGGATTCGGGTGATGGTGGAGAAATATTAGACACAGCAATGTCACTTTTTGACTTTTTGGGCTTCTTCGCATTTAGTTGCCAAGGTTTATCATAATTCCTGAAATCTCTTCTTGCTCCTTTATGCTCTAGTAGAACAAAATACATACAAAACTCTAATGATCATTGCTTTAATATTGATCAAAATGACATTTATTAAGTCAACAGTTATACCTGACAGTGATATCATATTAAGAACAATACATAGAACCAAACATATTTCCTTGTCAACTTGAGTTTAAGATTTAATATGAATCAGTTTGGATATAAACATGATCAAGATGATAACATATCAAACTATTAAATCATCTGAAAGGTTTCTTAAGTCATGGGTTTCCACTACTTAAAAGAATATTCTTGAAAAGAGCAGGTCTTATGTGAAAAATTACTTCATTATTTTGGAAATGAAAGTACTCAGACATTTATGTAAATCTATCACCTGGTGCTACCTTATCCATTATTCAGGGTGACACCTAAAATCATTGTCATTTCCCTAAATTTCTTCCAAGGGATCACCCATTTTTCTACTTCTCTATTCAATAAATATTAATTTAACAACTTGAGCTTCCAGAATGCCAATCTCATACCAACTGCCAAATTAAGTAATCTTACAAGACTTAATCCCTCTTGACTCCCTAGCAGCATTTCATCTTTTTATACAGACCAAGGTTTGCAGAATTTTCCAGTCTTTATTCTCACGGTATTGCAGTCTCCCAATGCCCAAATTGTCTTTCTAGTCACTCTTTGTTTTAATTGTTTTCATCTTCTACATATTTCATCTTGGGGAATTTTTCAGAATTTCCTTTGGCTTTCTCATCTTTACTTGCAAATCCTCAAACTATTAAAGATTTGTTTATAAGTTATAATTTTCTCTGGTGACCCACTTAAAAATATCAGTTGACATCAACACTTATAGGGAAGCTATAAATTGAAAAAGACCAACCAGCACATAATAAAGGACAACATTAAATACCTCATGAACTTTTCAAATATTCATATCAATATTTTTATTAAATAGCAGTTACCCAGGTCACCTGTGTACAACACAACAAAACTTGTTCAGCCCCGTGGCATCTTCATGACTGTTGAAATGAATGTATGAGTCCATCATTCTAGCCCTTGGTAGTACCTCCCAATCCAGGGGTCATTTTCAAACACCATCCTGGACAATATTCCATTATTGTGATGCTTCCATTGGCTAATGTTAAAACTAGATAAACTGGCCTTTATTCCTAGTATGACTTATTATGGAAGTCCCATTGAAACCTATCGGTCATGATTGACCCTGCTGGCCTTTAAATTTTGGTGGCATCACATTGAGTATCTTAGCAATGGGTAAGCACCACTGTACAACCAAATCCACAGATGGATAGTAGTAGAAATTATGTGTCCAAATAGATATAGACCAAGAAATAGATCCAACCAAGGGAGAGGACTCTGGGCTAGGAACCAGCTAGCAATATTCCAATCTGTTTCTGCTTCATCTGCCCTATTTCTATTTATGGAAATAACTCCACGGGCACTGTCTGAGTTCTAGAGGACCACTGACCAATAGTCCTTGAGCAAGAAGCTGAAATTTCTATGCTTCTTCTGCTACGCAATGAGATGTGGTAGGTAGATAAATTGGGTTACAACTAGTTAAGCACAATAATAACATGAAAATTAGAGTTGGAGCCTACTGAATACTAACCCCAAACAACAACGATTTTTTCTAATGTAACAAAGCTGAATGTTGCATTAGAAGAAATTGTTCCTTCTTTCTTAGAACAAAACTTTGTAAGAAAGAATCCTTGTCATAAAATATAAACTTCATGATATAAAGATAATATATTGAGCACTATACTTTCCATTTCTGATAAAAACTCTGTGTTTATTCAAATAATCTAGCAATTATACTTTTGGTCTTTTATTGACTAAAAAGAAATAAGAGGCAGGAAGTCCTAAGTCATTTAAATAGAGACTGATAGGATTCGACTAAACCGAGAAATTCTAATAGCATGGCCAAATCTCATCTTTCTTTTAAAAATGTATTAGAAGGATCCAGCTTGTTCCAAGCTATACTGTGCAGAGGAACCCTGGTGACACAGTGGTTAAAGTACCACTTTAGTGGTGCTTTAGAATGGTGGTCTGAAAATACCAGTCACTCTGCAGGGAAAACTGTGATGGTCTACTTCTGTAAGCAGTACTCTCTTTGAGACCCTAGAGGGCACTTCTGTTCCGCCCTGTCGTGCTGTTAGGAATCAGAATCGACTCATCAGCAATGTATTTAATGTTCATACTATAAAGAGGATAAACAAACAACCACAACAACAAATAGGAAAGGGATCTTTTAAAGAAAAAATCAATATAGAAAATAAAGGATTCCTCCCCGCTCCCACTACCATGACGCGAATTCTATCTTGCAAGACTGGCTAGACCAGAGGAGGTACACTGGTACAGATAGGAACTGAAAATACAGGGAATCCAGGATGGATGAGCCCTACAGGACCAGTGGTGTGAGTGGCAAAACAGGGAGGGTAAAGGGAGAATGGGTAAGGAAGAGGGGACCGATTACATGGAACTGTGTGTGACCTCCTCCCTGGGGGACAGACAACCGAAAAGTGGATGAAGGGAGACATCGGACAGGGCAAGATATGGCAAAATACCCATTTATAAACTATCAAGGGCTCATGCGGGAGGGGGCAGCGGGGAGGGAGGGGAAAAATGAGGACCTAATGTCAGGGGTTTAAATGAAGAGAAAATGTTTTGAGAAACGATGTACAAATGCGCTTTACACAATTGATGTGTGTATGGATTGCGATAACAGTTGTATGAGCCCCTAATAAAATGTTAAAAATAAATAAATAAATAAATAAATAAATAAATAAATAAATAATAAGTAAATAAATAAAAAGAAAGAAAGACAATAATGTAGCATTCTAGATATAGGGGAACTTCACAGATTTTGAAAATATTTATGATGAAAGTATATTTTTATTTTAGAATATGACTGGATTATCTTATCAATGAAAATGGGTTCTATGAAAGAAAAGACAACTGAGGCCTGAGACGGGACTTTTAAAAACACCTCTGATGAAAATGCCACTACAGGCAGGGAACATCGATGCGATAAGGAAATGCTGACAGGGAACTTAAATGCAGTGCTGAGACTTACACTGGTGTGCAAAGACAAACGGAGGGACCGATGTTACGGAAAACGGATTCAATGACACAGAGAGCACACTTTACACACTTTCCTGGAAGGGAATTGAAAAAAGTAAGAAAAGCAAATACCATGCCCAGTAAAATGAGTATAGCAGAGCACAGCGAAGGGAACACGGCGTACATGGAAGTGACTTTTCTGAAGAAAAAATGTAACAAATATCATGAAGAACTCAGTAACTACACTCTTCTAGGCTGTAGACCTGGGTTTGCAGATTGAAATGAGTCCTTGGATGAAAGTAGTGGTAAAGAAAAGAGACTATCATTTAGACATAGTCTAATAAAATAGTCCAATAAAAAAAATTAGAGAGGAAAACGAAGCAAAAAAAGTAAAGTTTCTAAAAAGAGCAAAAGATCATAATAATGTGTACAGGTTTCTCTTTCAGAATAGAAAATGACTTTTGAGAAGAAAGTGTGTACCTCAAGTTGCTGTATATATCTAAAGGCAAAAAAAAAGAGGACGCATTAAACCCTATCTTGTATCTTGGATATAGAAACGTGGCTGGGGTTTCCTAATCCACTAGCATTATGTAAATGCCTATCATGATAAGTTGTCTCAACAGGAAAATAAAAGTCCCTGTCTCTTGAAGTAATTAATCTCTGCCTGTCTACACCACTCACACATCCTAATTATCACCATCTTTAGGGCTGTGGCTATTTCCACAGCCTTAGCGAAGACATAGGTATTGTCTTTCTTTCCCTTTTACTGAATTGGATAAATATATGTGATCTCTTAATCCATTGGTAAACTATTCAGTTAACCTCATACATCCTTGCCTTCCTCAAATCTGAAGACAACTTATTGCCTTCAATAAATCCTCAAACACCTCCAATTAGGATCATCCACCAGACCTTCTTTTGTTAAGCCTTTCCTAACACAATGGTGGGTAGTTACTCTACTGGAAGGAGCCTTTTGAGAAGCAAAATTCTTCAAAAAATCCTCGATTTCAAATATCAATCTCTCAAGGCAATGTCTGTCATTCTACAGTCTCACATGCATTTTCCTTACAAATACACCCCTACACTGTCCTATTAAGGGTTTTTAGAATTGTTTTGCATTCTCTGCCTCAATCTCTTATTTCTCTTGCTCCCCAGCCTCTCATACCAGAACATACTGTTTCATCACCTGGTCAAGTGCACAAACCAACCTACTGCTATGCAGTCTATTTCAACCCACAGCGACCCTATATTGGGTTTCCAAGAATGTTCATCTTTATGGGAGCACACAGCCTCATCTTACTCCCATGGAGCAGTTGGTGGGTTCAAACCACAAACGTTGTGGTTAGGAGTCCAATGAATGATCAACCTGCAGTGCCACCACGTGCTATTCATTTCATTGCAAAAGCTTCCACCTTTGCAATACCACAAGCACAATTCCCAAACAGTCTCCTGTTCCTTGCTCTGTACTAAGAGGGATGCAAAAGAAAACAAAATTCTCAATCTAGCCCATGATTTCCACAATTAACTAATGTTACTGAATTTCAGTTGGGTCTCAAAATTAACTGGCCATTTGGGGGGTTTGTTTTCTTATCTGAACTGTTTTTCCTGTTTTCCTAGAGTACTCCCTAAGTGGCATCACAAAATTCAAATTCCTCTACAAGTCCTCACCCCTCTTGCTGTCAGCAATAAAACCTTGCCTCTTAACAGACAATTTAGATCACTAGGTACAATCTCACACTTGCCTTTTCCCAGTTTGTCCATATATCCTTTTTTCCCA